CAATAAAAAATAATGTTTCAAAATGTAAATTATAAGAAATGAATAAAACAAATTATTTTAATATATTATGAATAGAAATGTGCATTCATAATTTTTATTTACAAATAGTTTAAAATTACATTTTTTGTATTAATTTTTTTATATTTATAATATTTGTGTTACTCCTTAACATATTCATCTTGTGTTAAATCAATATAAAAAACATTAGGGTGGATCGTTTAGGACATACAAAATATTTTAATACAAATTTAATTTACAAAAATTTAATACAAATTTTCGAATTGTATATGCGATTTAGAAAACTTTTCGCCGCGCACCGGTCAGCTTTTTGAAAGATAAGTCAGAGAAATTAAGTAAAAGATTAGTAAAAAATAAATCATTAAAAAACATTGAAGAAAGAAAAAAAGCCAAATAAAACTAACAAAGAACTGAAATATAAGTATTAAATAATCGATTTATTATTATGTCTATTAAAATTTCTATATTTATATTTCAGTTTTTTATCAGTTTTACTTGGCTTTTTTTCTTTCTTCAATGTTTTTTAACGATTTATTTATTATCATGCATGATAATATATATGCATATCTTTAATGCATCAATACACAGGTGCTTACTGTATTCTGAAGATAAATTGCACCGTAAATATATAGCTGTAAGACTCGTTGCGAAGTACGATGTTACTGCTAAGTACATCGCAATGCGACCATATTCCGATGAATAATTAACAATTTAACTGAACGGCGCTTCGTGCGAGTTGCTTTACGTGCCGGCGCAACGAGGTAAATCACTTCGCGGCTCGCCCAAGCCCGAAGGTCGCCTTGCACGGAGGCGCATGTAAATGAATGGGGATTGGATAGGGCAATGTAACAGGGTAGCAAGGGTTGTCAGGAGTGTTTCAAGGGCTCCTTCAAGGTCAAAGGGGGGACGGCAATCGTCGTCGTATCATTAAAGACCCCACGTTGTGGTGTATGTGGCTACCCACGCGCGAGCGACGAGCATACCTCTTCATTCGATCCCTCTTTTTTCTCCTCCATGCTGCCTTCTTCGTTTACTTTTTTTGGGGTAAACGACCGCATGTAATATCGACCGCAATTTAACTAATTAATTGATTAAAGTGTAAACGCGAAAACCGGTTTTACTAGCAATTTTTCTCATAAAAGCACTTGAACGTGCCGTGTAAAAGAGACACACAGTCTTTTATCACACAATTTATCACACATAATTATTTAAGATATATATATATATATATATATAAAATTATGAATATAAATATAAATATAATTATGAATACAAACATAATCATGAAATATGAACATAAATTATTTTTAACATAAAAATAAATAATATAATTATTTAACACATAAATATTTATGTATTTAATATAAAAAATATAATTGTAGATTTAATTAAATTTTCTAATGCGTAAAGGAAATATTCTTTGTAAAATTAAAAAATTGAAATTATTGTGGATATCATATTAAAACTATTACAAGATCAAATGTAGATACACGGTGCGCTAAAAAAACAGAATTGACGCAGTTCCTGTATGAGGCCGGCAATGGCAGGGGTTGCAACCCCCCAGCATTCCGCACTCAGCTGTCATTCATACTTTTCGCAGTAATCACGATGCAACAGTCGTACGATTCAACTACCAAGCCCGCAGGAATAGCTAGGAGTCCCGCGGACTTGGCGCATCGTTCGACTACGCGATCTCGCCAATGTTTTAATAAGTAATAGCTCGCACCATAAGAGAATCTTGGGGGTGAGAGGTATTAGGAATTCACGATCGAGCAGGAGGAGAATTTTCACCCCACAGGGGTGACTCGCGAAGGGGGATGCTGGGGAGGATATGTGCGAGGTTTCGTTTACGCAGGCAGAACCCCGAGGTCGATGGCACCCCATAGGGCGGTACGCCAATTCTATGGCGCGCGTACCGGCTCTCGACTCACCCGTATATCGATCGGTTCGATATACCTAAGCTGGAAAACAGCTTTTGTGTTATTCTATTCTCGCGTGAAACCTACTTCGTATTCTATTTCAAAGAGATTGAATGAGACTCGTGAACAATAGTTTCACCAATAAACAATAGTTTCGGTTTACTAAATAAGTATGTTTTATCCGAAAAACAAGTATCTACTTTTTTGTTCGAGAAAACAGCTGATACCTTTTCATTCAATTTTTTTATTCTGCTCATATTGCCTAATAAATTAAAAAACTAGAATTAAAGTTATTATATAAAATTTTAGTTTAATAGTAATTCTTAAGGCGGTCCTCAAACAGTTAATATTATTGCTTTAGTTAAATTGTTAATTATTCATCGGAGTATTTGCATAATATTAATGATTATCTGGAGACTGTATTAAGCCTTTATGTTATATGCTTTAAATTGTTTAAAGAGTAATATTATATAATAATTATTGTACAATATAATTGTATAAACAATAATATTGAGCAGCTAGAAGCCGTTTAAAATAATTTTATTTCAACTGGCAATATTAATACGTTATTTACATTTAAGGATCTACTAAAAGCTACTTGAAAATCACGTTGCAATTTTTTTATTGCATTTCTTGTGCGTGCTGAATTACTCCCACATGTCTGTTCATTTTCGAGGAACAAAAGTTGACCTCGATGCAACAAAGCTATGCGTTTTGCTCTTACTTATAGAAACTCGTAACACGGTCTCTTATGCACGCGATCATATCGTCACGACAATCGCAATACTGCACCTTGACGATGCGGAGAACAGTTGTCGTGCTTGGGGAGGAAAAACGGGAACGATTTAACAAGCACTTGAGTGCCTTTGATCTGGTTTAATTAGCCGCGAGCCGCTGAACTACCAGCGGATTTATCGTCTCATACCGTCTGAGAAGAGCTGAAATTTCCACGAAAAGGCGGTTGCCATAAAAAGAGCGGTCTTTTTGAGGTACTTTGGACGATACTCTGAATTCCGTAGAACAGACAGAAATGCTTCGCTTAATGATCTGCCTTGGAACGGCTGTTACTCATAAAGCGTTAGCTTAAACAAATTTTTCTCGAGTTCAATATTTCAAGAAAAAAAACAAAAAAAAACTGAAATATATCCATGAGATATTATTATATGAAAAAATAAATAATCTTTTACTGAATATCTAAATAAGTATATCTTCTGAAATTCTGCGCTTTATATCAATTTATGGCAATATATAAAATGAGTTTCCTAATTGATTTCCTAAGTAAGTGCAAAAAATTGAAAAGTATATTCCTCTGCTTATTTTAGAGAAACAAAATTTATAAATGTATGTCCTAAACAGTTTTATTTTCAAAGTACATATTATCTATACGTATGCCCTATATGTAAAAATGTTTTATCAGTATCAGAAAATAATTTTCCTGGAACGTGATACCACATATATATTCGCACAAACTTAATAAATAAAATATTTCTAAGAGTTTTCCAGATTTCTTTCACCTTTTTTTCAACTTTAATATCTAATACTTTGGAAATGAAACAATTTAGGACATGTGTTTATACTTTTTTTTTCTAAATAAATCAAGGATCATTCCCTTTAATTTTTTTTACTTACTTAGAAGTCATCCTACATATATATGGGAGTTATATTTTTTTCATGATTTTTTGTAGCCAATCTATATATTAGAAAGATATCGCAAAAAAATTTCTCAAAAGCTGTGTACGTATACTATAATATAAATATTTTAAATATAAAATTATAATTTATTTATTTCATATTAATAAATATTAGAAGGTAATATTTGTAATAATCTTCCACGTGTGAAGTAAGTATCTGAGATTGTGACAAGTTGTAAGTTTTTTAAATATATTAATTAGTTATAAATACAGAATAAAGGCAAACTTATAATATAACTGAGAGAGATTTTTTGTACAAAAATCAGTCGAAAATATAGAATAATATAGAATAAATATAGAATAATTTTTATCCGAGGCTTTGCTTTCGAAAAAAAGCCTCTATAAAAAATAACAAATATTTTGTAAAATATATTACGATTCCAAAAACGATCACTGAATTAATGATATAATTTCCAAGAGATAAAATCATCTTTTTTTTATACTACTTTTATTTTGGAAATACTTTAAATGTAATCTACCCCAAATATAACATTTAGGAAATATATTTTTTTCTAAATGAGACAAGAAACTTAATTAACAATAAAATTATCAAAAATAAACTTTAAACGTAAATATACAAACTTCCATAACCTAAGTTATAGCATCATCAGCATCATCTTTAAACTAAAATTTTATATTTAGTTTTTACAAATCTATTCCAAAAATTTCTCTTTAATAATATGGATTTCTCTTTAATAATATTTCTATTTAATAATAAGAAAACATAATTACTTTTTATGTATTTGATATAAGCAACCCCAAAATTTGTTTTTCATTCAAATATAATACATTACTTATATTATTATATCATTATTATATAATATATTAGAATGTCACCTCACTGTCAAAATGAGTAATTCTATTTTTGTAATAGAAGAAGATCTATTAAAATACAGTACAATATAGTAATCTTTGTCTCATTTTTCCATTTTGAAATCGGACCGCTCGGAGAATGAGAAACTCCCAGTTGAGCTCTTTAAGGAGTGGGGTGAAACGGAAACATATGATGTACAGTTGGGTCAGCAGAAATTTGAGTGATTAGTGCATGGCCGATCAGTGGACTACAGTTCATCGACGACGCTTGACCGTGACCGTGTCATCACCAACCGATTCTTCTTTTCATGTAATCAATTTGCCGGATGATAGAAAATTTTTAGCGATCGATCGAAAAAGGAATTGTTCACAGCAATAAGTGATTTGAAAATTGTGTTTTTTTTTTTGAAAGTTTAAAAAAATTACATAAATTAAAGATCATTTAAAAAATCGAAATACTATATAAAAAACTGATAATTTTATAGATTTAAAAATGGAAAATTGCTTAAATATAAAAATTAAGAATTTCTAGAAGAATCGAGAAAACACTAATGACTTAAAATATCATAGTCAATTAGTGGCGTGCACTATTAAAATTTCATTTATTTGGAAACGGGCGCTCAATATCGAGACAGCCGCCGATACGAGCGCTATCATTGGCGCTTTGCGTCAATCGATTTTTTCATTATTATTATTCCTTATCGCTCGGCTTACATAGTGGCTGGCACTGATGGATTGCCCCGTCGACGAGACAGACATTTAGAACTCACGAGATCTTCGTAGAATAGACGCCAAGGACGTCGCAACATATTTCTGTAGCATTTAAAGCGAAGTGTCCATCTTCAAATGACCACAAAAAAGTTCAGAAGATTCAAATTCTAACTTTCGAGAGCAAGTGAAGTGATAAGATTCAAATTCTAACATTCGAGCAAGTGAAGTGATAAAGAAAAAGAGTCTTCACATATCGTTTATAATTTATTTTCATCGAAACTTAACACATGAAGTTAACATCAAAACACTGTGATAACATAATTTACTCAACAAATAGATAACAGTGCAAAGGTTCTACTTGTTTTTAAGACGCCTAATATTGCAATATTTTTTTAGTATTTGATGCAACAATATGTATGATATGATCAAATTATCGTAATACGAAAGAACGCGATATTGTAAGAAGTGTAAGTTATATACATCAACGTGAAGATTGTACGGATATCTGTTAGTACAAAAAATATTTCAACATGTCTTTTCTTAACGAGATGATAATGTTGGCATACACAGCCCAAATGATGTCTACCTTGCCTGAAAAAGGAGGGAATATTAGTGTAGCTCAGAATACTACAACTTTGTCGCCGATGGAGGTGGAGAACAAATTTGATTTCGACGACCGTAAGTATATCAATTTCGAAAAATTTACTATAATCTTATTTTATTTTCAAAATAATTTCTCTGTAGTTTAAAATACTCCATGAAAAAATAAGAATATAAAAAAGAGAATATAAAACAATAATCTGTGTTTGCTGCTTCTTTGTGTTGAGTATCGAAAAAAGTCTGTGCGGATTTTTAAATAAAATTTTAAACACTTTGAATTTTTTGAAAAGTAACTTTATTTGTTACGTTTACATATTTTTTTCGTGGATTTGAGTTGAACTATATTGTAGTTTATCCTTCATTAATAAATAAAAAAACAACCCAAATGTTGTTCATCCTCTAATGATTCATTGTTTCCTTAAATCGCTTAAGTCATTTTTGTACTGTCCTTTCGCTAACAGAACTTCTCCACATACACTATAAATGTGTTTAGTTGCATTTGCTGTATTTCTAATGGCGTTTTCATCCGACCCTGGATTTGTGCCAATCTCGGTCGACTAATGACGTTTCGTACTTTCCTATTGGTAAAATGTATAACGTCAACCAATAACAATGCATTTTCAAATCCAGGTTGGTGCAAACCCGATCAGGCCGAAAACGCTATAAGTTTACTCATAAAACATAAATTTTTAACTTTTTGATATCTTTAATAACTTATCTAAATAGCTTATATAAAAATCTTATATAAAAGTCGAAGTATTGTAACAATTGGTAACTATGCATCATGTAAAGATTAACTCTAATTGTATTCCCTCCAACATTTCTTTAATTGATATAGGTCCAGTGTGTACCTGACAAAACTTTAAATTAACCCTTAAAGAAATCTTAAAGCGAAGCTTGAACTCCGACGAAGTCAGCAGAGGTCGCTGTTTCAGCGCATTGACATGTCTTAAGAGCATAATAAAAGGAACAGGAAACAGAGAATTAGAATTTCAACCTATCAGAAATTGCGTATTTCACAATACATGATTTCTGATAAGTTACAATTCTTATTCTTCTCTGTTCTCTGTTCTCTATTCCTTTTATTGTGTGGAACTCCTTCTAATCTTATATACCACACCAATATCTCACGCAACCTATGATACACGCAGTCGCATGTTCATGTATTTTCGTATAACAAATTCGTCGCAATAAAGCGTCTAAGTCTAAATTCTAAGAATTCGTTATTTGTTCGTGCAAACTACGTGTTTGTGGATTACTATTTTGTATAAGTACAGATTGCAAAATTTCTGTATCAAGCAACTGTTGTCATGACTTGACAGCTTGAGATGTCATGTTACACTAAAAAAAATGATAAAAAATATATCAATTTTAAAATTTTTGGTCGTTCTCGGCATAAATTCCATCTCACAAACACGAATTAATGCATATACTTAATCCTGGAATAAAGGATTTTCGAATCTGTAAAAGAGAAAAAAAGTATTATACAAAATTATATGATTTAGTCGGTAATACAGACGACTTTAGGATATCTTTAAATATTGTCGTGAAAAAATGTTACACTTCCAACGCTGTGGATTTGCTGGATCCTTATTTTTCAAAGGCTAATAAAATGAAACTCATTAATTTTGGAAACATTTTTATTATATCTTTTTATTTATATCTTTTTATTTGATTCCTAGTTTATCTATATCTTTACAAGCGTTGAAAGATTTGATATCCAATGGATTCACAACATTAAGTTAATTAATGTATCTTTACATTAACATAATCGAACGATTTTTTTTATTTTGAAAGTTATAACGTGAGGAATAAGATTATGCAACTTAAATTTATAAGAAATAAGATTAATTTAAAATTATAAGGAATAAGATTATTTAACTTAAAATTAAATAAATTTGTAAAAAAACATTTGTTAAAACAATTTTTCACAATATTTGGCGTAATTGGAAATATATCCAGGTCCACGAATACTAATTGAAATGTTAAGAAAATCTCCGAACGGCAAAGATCGGAAAAAATTATATAATAAAGTGAGAATTAGTGTACGGTCACGTGCAATCGTATATTGCCCTTATCATTAATCATTGATCTCCAATGCGGAGACAAAACATCATCGGGGTCTTCGAGGAACTGATAGAAGCGCGTGCGGAGATATGGACGCGCTGATAACCCCTGAAAAGTAATCCCATTAATGCTCTCTCTAATAGTTTCTCGAAACGTCGGTATGATACTATATTAATAAAGGACAGCGAATAAGGACAGTTAGATACGTATGTCAAAATATTTGCAAATGACACTGAGCCAAAACTTAATATACTGGGTGACCATTTTAATATCTCCAATAATTATTTTTTTTGTTTTAGAAAAAAAATGTTTTAGACAAAAATAGAACGCGCGCGTGCGTGATTTCAAGGAGAATGTATATTGATCATAAGGCGGAATTCATAGATATTGCTCAAGATTCAAGACATCTTAAGGTATAGCTTGAGATGTCATGAATCAATCAGAGAGTCGTATTAATATCTTAAGACATTGCTTGAAATTGTCTCGAAATTAAGAACGAACTATGGATTCCGACCTTACCTAGTAAGAAATGATAATGGAACATCGATTTTATTATCATTTCTCACTGGGTATTCTTTTTTCATTTTAAGTGAATGCGTCAAAAAGATATGCAGGTCGCTTCCATTTTTTTAAATAGAATTATATGAATTTTTTATAATTTTGTATGATTCCTTTAATTATTTTGCATTAAATTAAAATATTACTAGAATTTTAATAAATTTAACCAAGAAAATTCTGAATGTTGGTTATTTCAACTAGAATTCTAATAGATTTATCAAAAAATAATGTGGTAAGTTTAACCAAAAGTTTTGGACTGTTCATTTTCCACCAAAATTCCTATTAATTTAATAAATCATTTTTCTCTATAAAATACTAAAAGCAAGAATATCTCCTTAATACTTTTATGAATAGACTAATGAGATAAATCAATTAGTATCAAAAAAATCATATAGTTTCTTAAAAAAAAATGTAGGAAAAATAGATTTTTTATAAATAAACTGTGATTTATAAATAAACTGTGTTTATACTAATTAATTCACTTTATTATTTTGTTTATAAAATTATTAAAGTATGATTATCAAAAAATTAATAGTTTATGAAATATTTATGAGACATTTTATGTCAACATGTGTCAGAATAAAATGTCTAAATGTATCATTAGAAACAAAATTTTTTTTTGCAAAGCGTTAAAACATTTATTTTATGATTTTTGAAAGTTTTTACAAGCTTTCTTAATAAAATAAGTTTTCTTTTATGAATATATGGACCTTCATGATAAATAGATTTTTAATGTGTCTGTTCTGAGTCAAAATTAGGCTTAGATTTTTACACACCCTTTAAATCATTGTTGCATTTTCATTGTTGTTAAATACTAAAGAAGTAAAAACAACTTTTTATTAATTAGAATGGTATATGTGGCGATGTTATGAGCCGTTCGGATGCTTTTATATTGGACCACCCTGGTCTGGAGAGGATCGACCAGTGTCTACATTTCCCGCAAGACCGGACAGTATCGATCCTCATTACATCCTTTATACACGCGAACAGGCTGGAAAACCTTATGAATTGAAGATCGATGGAAATTCAACGATCCGGAAATCGCCCTTGAACAAGAAAAACAATTTGTATTTCATTATCCACGGATTTCTGGACAACGGTGACAAAACTTGGGTCTTAGTGAGTGCAATCTCTCACAATTTTTTTTATAAAAATCGATATTTTATAAATATCTTTCAAAAAAGAATAATTTTGTAGTTAAGGTTCGTAAATAGTCATCACAACTATGTTCAATCGTGACAAAAATTATTTCTCGCTTCTGACTTCATGATTTAATATGACTGTGATAATTATTCAGCCTTAAGATGTATTTGAAATTTACATAGAAATATTAACCAAGGCATAATGTTTTCTGATTATTATATTCAGCCTTGACTATATTTAATACTTTTTTATTTATTTATGCTTCATATATTCTCTCATTCATATTTTATTCTATAAAATCCACTTTACACGATTTATTATTCATACAGAACTCTATTAATCATCTATAAAATATATATTATGATTATACTACTATCAAATTCTTCACTCATGTAAACATTTTGACAGAGAGTAATGAAGGAGTTGCTGTTGCGGGAGGATTGCAACGTCGTGATCGTTAATTGGCTTGCCGGTGCTGGACCACCCTACACACAAGCGGTGGCGAACACACGGCTAGTGGGTGCTATGACAGCTCGTATAGCAGCACTACTAATTGAGATCACGGAATTACTACCTTCGAAAATGCATTGCATTGGCCATAGTCTAGGCGCTCACACTTGCGGTTACGTCGGATTCCACTTACGCGTTCGATACAACTATACACTAGCTAGAATTACAGGTAAAGTTAAATGAACAACTACTTGACATAAATTTTTTATATGTATTATAAAATGTATAGTGTTTTCTTATTTTAAAAGTAACACAACTCAGGAAACGTGATTTTCATCTTATTACCATAAATTAGTTATATAGTCAACAATTTTCCTAATGAGTTATGTCTAATTAAAAATTTTGAACAAATCAATTTTTCAAAAATTACTGCACTAGTTTAATCTCTAACACATGCACACACATACTTTGTGTATTTTTTTTAAATATCAAAATCTTTAATCGAAAGGTTTTTGTATTCAATATATACTTTTTATTTTGTGAACTAAAAAAATATCTGTTTTTAAATGAAAATCGGCATCTTAACATTGAACAATCGCTATTTGGGAATCCAATTTGTCGAAATATTAATCGATTAAAAACTAGATAAACTCAATTTTTTTGAATTTTTGATTTTTAATAATCTGGTTCCGAGCAGCAAAACACTTTTTAAAAAACAGCTTCCCGAAAATTTCTTGTAACTTTGTTATATAATATAAAATTATAGATAAATATATATTTTTGTATAAAAAAAATATGAAGACTGTCAAGAAAGTTCTTTCGAATACAAAACCTTTCAAAATTGTACATATATCTTTCCAAAAAGAAATTCACGAAAATTCTTTTTTTTTACTTTGTGACTAGACGTAGCTCTTAAGTTGAAAAATATTTTTCTCCTTTTCTGAAGAATTTAATTTTTTTCAAATTATTACTTTTAAATTAATAAGAGAGCGATATATGCAACCATACCGTGATATATTATCTATTTCCGAAGCGCAATATAGCACAATAATTAACAAACAAGTTTTTATACAATGTGGATAAATAAGCAAGAATGTAAAATGATTAATTGAATACATAGTTCTCCGAAGATTACGCGATAAGAAAACCAGATTTCTTTATAAGAAACGATTACAAGAAGGGAGTGTAAAACCTTCTTTATGTAAGATTGAAGAAGTGATTGCAAAAGGAAAACGCAAAAGGAGAAAGGAAAACACGGAGTAAAGTCATATGTGAAAGAATGGTATAAAGGTATAAAGTTCAAGTTGTTACGGTGCTTTTTTCCTCTTCCTCATTTTTCTACTTGAAATCGGTCATTGTCAAGTGGGTCGCTTGTCCCCTCCCACAGTCACAAACAGCTCGGAGCATTACGAAGATAGCCGATTGAATCGTAGATGATCAGGATAGTAGTCGCCGCAGAAACGTCTTGCTCAAAAAGATTCATTCAACGTCATTCTTAAAGCGTTATTAACCATAAGAATTGGGATAAAATTATTTTAATAACAAAATTATTAATAACAAAAGTCAGATACTTTCTTGAACAGTAAACATAGTAGAAACATTTTAAACTAGTTAAAATCGATTTTTATTATAACAATTGTCATTGTGAATTTTTAACATTTTCGGATGTTAATTTAACGTGATTACGTTAATATTTTGTATTAAATTATTATTTAATATTTTTTAATAAAAATATTATGCTTTTAAAATAACACAATTTTTGAGTAAGTGAACAAGAAACAAAAATAAGTGTAGTTTTAATTTCTGAGATAAATAAATAAAAAATATATGTATTAATTTAATATATTATAAATATGAATTTTACTAAAGAAATGTTTTACAATTTGTTTTTAAGTTATGTTAAAGCGTAAAATTTTTGTATTATGTTTAACTTTTACATATTTATATTATTTTCTAACATATTCATCTTGTGTTAAATTAACACAAAAATTTTAAATTTAATTTTTCAACTCTGTAACTTCATTATTCTTACACACTGGAAAAAGAGTAAGTATTCATTAATTAAAATTCTAAATTCAAAAAGAACAAAATAGACATATATATTTATATTTATCAAACATTCTAATTAAAATAATTAAAAATTCAATTCAGATGAAACCGAATTCTAGTTGATATAAATTCGTTGATCAAAATTCGTATAGTTGATCTGATTATTCACCGTAGACACGTATTTTAATGTCTAAAACTTACCATCGGAATCTTCAACTTTCCATCAGAATTTCCATTTCACGAACTTATAATTTAAATGATTAGTGAAATTTTTTCAAACATAATAAGCTAAGATTCAACGATTCTTCTCGCTACAACAAGCAAATATGAAACAATCGTCGTTATAGTGAATGTAACTGTAAAATTACGTTACTTTCATTGTATTTTCCTGTGCCATCGAGGAATTTATATAATGTGCGATATCGTAAGACATCGAATAAATAAGTATCATTTGAGAATGATGACGTTTGTAATTCGCTGTATCGCATGTGAAAATTAAAAATCATATAAAAGAAAAAAAATCATTGTGTGAGGATACACTGAAAAAAAAAGTAATAACTACCAAATGTATTTTGTTTAGCAATGTATAGTAAACATTTCTAAACGTAATAGTCGTAACCAATCATTTGATAATCATTAGAAAAGTAAACTAAACGTTTAGTTGGTCATATTAATATTCAATTGACATTATTTCGCCAAGTTTTGATATAACTCATCTAGGCTTAATTATATTAATATTATTACACACATACTTTTTTTTATGATATTCTTCTGTTTTGTAAATCGTACCGTTATTATGCAATTTGCAAGATCAACGATAAATCGATTAGACACGTACGAAAGCGAGTTTGTACATATAAAAGACCAGCGAAATTTCTATCTCTCTCCCCCACCGGTATCGATGAGATCGAACGCACCCGATCGGAGGTGGATGGGTTTGGTCGTTACGTAAGCTATCGATCCCATCGGGAACTACCAGGATAACAGAAGAAGATGCAAAGTATGTTAACAAGGGTGGCGGCGGGGCCTATATCGTCAATGGCTGCGACCCGCAGAATTTACCGAGGGTAGGCGAATCGACGCTCTCTCTTCGGCGCGACCACGAGGCAGGACATCCCTTAACGAGGGGGATGTCTTAGTTCCACGAGGATGGCCGACGAGACAAGACATGCGTCGAAGATGCGAAAGGAAAACATCATTCCTGGACCCGTCCAGAGACTGCATTCCAAAGACCGAGTCCGAGATTGCGGTAAACAACCAGAATAAGAGAGCACGTTGTCCCAAGAAGTGGCAGGATAGCAGGAGAATAGGCCTCGTTCCCGAATAAGGACGAGAAAGATAATGGGATATCATCAATCATAGGCGTGAAAGAGTGTTCAGATTCTGAGGAAAAAATTATCGAAGCGAAATGCAAATCTGAAATTTCGCAATAAGTTCTTCGTAGAGATTTAAGATTTTAAGTAGTAGCAAATCAAGTCGATGATCTAATTTAATTTAGGGGATTATTATTATTTCAGTTTGATCATGTTGCAAATTCGAAAGTATGTGAGATAAGGAGAATATAACTTTTTTCGCCATCATTTGGGAATTGTTTTATTTCTACATTTGTTTATACATATTTATTTTTCTTCATGGAGACCAAAAATCATCATAATAATGACATTATACTCAAGAAAAAATTGATATATTATCTGTGTGTGAAATAAAGTTAATAAAATCTTTATTACACCATTACGAAATCGCAGTCAATTATTATCAATTCAAGCATTTAAAAACTAATTTAGAGAATTGGCTCAACAACTGTCTGAATTAGTTAAATGATTGAAGCATAACTGGCAACGATGTAAATAAAAATTTTATTCTTTTTCCAATATATCTATCAATTTATCTTTGAGTGTAATATCAATATTATGATAATTTTCGGTTTCTGTGAACAAAATAGAAATATAAAACGATTTCTGTACAGTCGAAAAAGTGAAAGTTGAAACTTTCCTTTATTTAAAATACATATAGATGTATCATTTCAACATCTGGCTTTGACTAAGCTTTAATGCTTCTCTTACTGTTGGTATATTCATATTGCTATCCTGTTTTGGCTTAATATTGAAATGTAAATCTTTCGCCATCAATTCATCGTTGTAATAAATCTTTTCTACGCAAAATATTCCGAGTTTCCTGCATGCCATTTATAAATTTTGTCCAGGAAAACAAAAATTATGTTATGCGTCATGATGCAAGAACGTTTACGAAGGTAAATCATCATAACGATAATTTATCTTAGTAAAGACACTTAACGTTTTGTTTCTACAAATCGCAAAATAACTTTCATTTTTGCGCAATATAGTACAGTATTACGATAAAACTTTCAGTAATCCTTATGTGACAGGAGCTGAACCATGCTTTATAAGTCGAGCAAAATGAATATTCATTAAGATCATAGAACGATATATCTACATTAAGAAATAAATGCTATAGTTCGCATCTTCAAAACTTAATTTCATCGACATATATGAAAATATTAATTCATAATTCTTATTAGAATGTAAATATTGTTGAGATACTACTATTAAAGTACATATAATAATTTTCAGCATTTCTTGAATTCATTAAAAATAGTAAAAAATAATTAAAAATAATCATTAAAGAACTTCTTCAGTTATTATAAGTTGTAAAGTTTATGTATCTATATTATTTACATATATATATATATCTATATTATATACATATAAATATATA